ATTATTGTACATCTAATTATTGGTTGTAAATATTATTGAGTTTTATTCACTGATTATTGTACATCTATTTATTGGTTGTTAATATTGTTGAGTATGATTCACTGATTATTGTACATCTATTTATTGGTTGTAAATATTATTGAGTATGATTCACTGATTATTGTACATCTAATTATTGGTTGTAAATATTGTTGAGTATTATTCACTGATTATTGTACATCTATTTATTGGTTGTAAATATTATTGAGTATGATTCACTGATTTTTGTACATCTATTTATTTGTTGTAAATATTATTGAGTATGATTCACTGATTATTGTACATCTATTTATTGGTTGTAAATATTGTTGAGTATGATTCACTGATTATTGTACATCTATTTATTGGTTGTAAATATTATTGAGTATGATTCACTGATTATTGTACATCTATTTATTGGTTGTAAATATTGTTGAGTATTATTCACTGATTATTGTACATCTAATTATTGGTTGTAAATATTATTGAGTATGATTCACTGATTATTGTACATCTATTTATTGCTTGTAAATATTATTGAGTATGATTCACTGATTATTGTACATCTATTTATTGGTTGTAAATATTGTTGAGTATTATTCACTGATTATTGTACATCTAATTATTGGTTGTAAATATTATTGAGTATGATTCACTGATTATTGTACATCTATTTATTGGTTGTAAATATTGTTGAGTATGATTCACTGATTATTGTACATCTATTTATTGGTTGTAAATATTGTTGAGTATGATTCACTGATTATTGTACATCTATTTATTGGTTGTAAATATTGTTGAGTATTATTCACTGATTATTGTACATCTAATTATTGGTTGTAAATATTATTGAGTATGATTCACTGATTATTGTACATCTATTTATTGGTTGTAAATATTATTGAGTATGATTCACTGATTATTGTACATCTATTTATTGGTTGTAAATATTGTTGAGTATTATTCACTGATTATTGTACATCTAATTATTGGTTGTAAATATTATTGAGTATGATTCACTGATTATTGTACATCTATTTATTGGTTGTAAATATTGTTGAGTATGATTCACTGATTATTGTACATCTATTTATTGGTTGTAAATATTGTTGAGTATGATTAACTGATTATTGTACATCTATTTATTGGTTGTAAATATTATTGAGTATGATTCACTGATTATTGTACATCTATTTATTGGTTGTAAATATTGTTGAGTATGATTCACTGATTATTGTACATCTATTTATTGGTTGTAAATATTGTTGAGTATGATTCACTGATTATTGAACATCTATTTATTGGTTGTAAATATTGTTGAGTATGATTCACTGATTATTGAACATCTATTTATTGGTTGTAAATATTGTTGAGTATGATTCACTGATTATTGTACATCTATTTATTGGCTGTAAATATTATTGAGTATGATTCACTGATTATTGTACATCTAATTATTGGTTGTAAATATTGTTGAGTATGATTCACTGATTATTGTACATCTATTTATTGGTTATAAATATTATTGAGTATTATTCACTGATTATTGTACATCTATGTATTGGTTGTAAATATTGTTGAGTATGATTCACTGATTATTGTACATCTATTTATTGGTTGTAAATATTATTGAGTATGATTCACTGATTATTGTACATCTATTTATTGGTAGTAAATATTGTTGAGTATGATTCACTGATTATTGTACATCTATTTATTGGTTGTAAATATTGTTGAGTATTATTCACTGATTATTGTACATCTATTTATTGATTGTAAATATTGTTGAGTATGATTCACTGATTATTGTACATCTAATTATTGGTTGTAAATATTGTTGAGTATGATTCACTGATTATTGTACATCTAATTATTGGTTGTAAATATTTTTGAGTTTTATTCACTGATTATTGTACATCTATTTATTGGTTGTTAATATTGTTGAGTATGATTCACTGATTATTGTACATCTATTTATTGGTTGTAAATATTATTGAGTATGATTCACTGATTATTGTACATCTAATTATTGGTTGTAAATATTGTTGAGTATTATTCACTGATTATTGTACATCTATTTATTGGTTGTAAATATTATTGAGTATGATTCACTGATTTTTGTACATCTATTTATTTGTTGTAAATATTATTGAGTATGATTCACTGATTATTGTACATCTATTTATTGGTTGTAAATATTGTTGAGTATGATTCACTGATTATTGTACATCTATTTATTGGTTGTAAATATTATTGAGTATGATTCACTGATTATTGTACATCTATTTATTGGTTGTAAATATTGTTGAGTATTATTCACTGATTATTGTACATCTAATTATTGGTTGTAAATATTATTGAGTATGATTCACTGATTATTGTACATCTATTTATTGGTTGTAAATATTATTGAGTATGATTCACTGATTATTGTACATCTATTTATTGGTTGTAAATATTGTTGAGTATTATTCACTGATTATTGTACATCTAATTATTGGTTGTAAATATTATTGAGTATGATTCACTGATTATTGTACATCTATTTATTGGTTGTAA